AGCAAAACGAAGCTGGTGGCGGTTGTTCAGCTCGAAGAAACTTAAACGCCACTTTCACCGAACTCCGTAGAACTGGCCAGGAAGCGGCTAAAACCGAGCTATTTGAAGCGAGGGCCGCAAGGCATCATGCGCGGCAGCACGCAGGCCCGGCAGGACGGAATTTAACTGATTTAAATCTTCCCGTGCTACGGGCTAATTATGTATGCAGTGAGAATAGTTGATTCAGTTAACTGAATTTTCAGCACATCAGCAGTATCCCATCCGTTGTAACACGATCATGTATTCTATAGACATATCAAATTCTGCAAGCAGAATACTGCAATGCTGATCGTACTACGTATTTTTCACGTAGTACGATCGGCATTGCAGTATTCTGCTTGCAGAATTTGATGTGTCTACTTTTCATTTTTGCTGATCAGGTCTTTATAGATCCTAAGTTCTTCGGCATATTCGTTTGCGGTCCTTTGCAGTCCTTTGTGGTTAATGTTTGTACTTTATGTATTCTGTATTATTCTGATGTTATGAATCATAAGTTTGAGAAATGACTGCCAAATACTAGATGCGTTCTTTGCAATAATTAAAATAAAATTGTCGGATTCTACCGGTTTTCGGTTTTTTTTTACTGACTGCAAGACAAAAAGAGCTAATGGAATGGCATCCCTGGTGTCCTATATACTGAGCCATAATCATAACTATAACAAAATTCTTAAATCTGATTGCATGATGGCTATCAACTGCCCTGATTTCAGCCTTAATAGTACGGTTAAATAGGACAGTACGCGTCATGCCTAAGTAATAGGACAGTACGCACCATCACGCGCGCGCTTAAATGGTTTTTTTTTTTCACTGCTAGCAAAAAAAATCTCTGAATTTCTTGTGTTTTGATTAAAAAAAGAGCGTAATATATCACAAATTTTGTTAAAGTCATGACTCCTGATTAAACAAGTCGGACTCCCGCTACGCGGTCGTCCGATTTTGTTAATCACTCGTATGATTACAGACCGAATTGGTCTCCATTCAGTCCTGTTACCATTACGAATTCGAGTTATTCGGGGTAAATTTGGATCAAGGTAAAAGAAATTTAGTACGAGTTAGCGAAAAATTCGAGATATCCAAAGGCGAGTGAGCCGAGAAGAAGTGACTGAAAAATCCAAGGGAAATGGTTTCAGTTAGCAGTGAGTTTAAGTTGTCCGTGTTCGAGTTCACACTGGGGGTCTCGGGCGGTTCTCAAGTATTTTTGAGTTTATTTGCAATTGATCAGTTAAGAAAAATAAAATCCCACCGCATGGAAACAATAATTCATAAAATGAGAAGGGATCAAGAAAGACCAAACCAGTTAGTGTTTTCAGTTCATTCGGCCTTTCGATTTAATCATTGAAGACAGGATGTCCTTTCTCCAGTTCATTCTCCCTACCCCTCAATCGATAAAGAAATTAAAACCACTTCCGGCTACTGAAGTTGAGCATTGAAAGATGTACATCGCGGGAGGCCACTTGCTTTTCCCTTTATTCCTAATATCAGAATGATACTAGGAATAAAGGGAAAGCAAGTAATATCATTCTGATATTAGGAACACCCTGTGATCTTAGTTGTTCCTCTTCCTGTTGATTAATCATGATCAAATCCACATTGTTATCCATTCACGATAAGTTTTAATGGTTTCGGTACAGTATTATAAGCAAATTTAAATTGATGAGCTGGTCAATATGTCTCTTATTTTTAAAGCATATTTGTCACAAAATTATACCATTTGAGTTACATTGAACGAAATGCCATCATTATTTCGACATTGACAGTCAAGAAATTCAGTCTTCGGTGGAAAATGTACTGATTTGTAGACACTTCATAGTTACAGGTCTTACAAGAAATATCCTTATATATGCACCGTGAATTCATTTGTCTCCTATTTTAAAATATGCCAATAATTTACACGGTTTTTTAGTAATGGTGAAGGCAACACTATCATTATTTCGATACTGGCAGTCAGGAAATTCAGTGCTTGGTGCTGCTTGATCAGAAAATGGATCACTTTAGTTGACCCCACAGCTAGAGATCTGGTTTAATGGGTGATTGAGATTTTTTATTGCAAGCGTGACAGAGCATATGTCCTTCGGAGCGGTCCTTGAAAAGGGAATTATTAAAACCACTTATACCGAGTAGTATCAAGGAGCCTAAACGAGCAAATTTCATGGAATAAAACAAGCATACACTCAAATCTAAGCGCTTCTAGATTGCCTGCAACGGTTGGAAGAAGAACCGGCGATGCCACTTTCCTCAAAGGCCCAACTTCGACTAACGCAACTGGTGGCAGAACTAGAAAATTCTCTCGTCGCGTGAGTTGGGCTGGGGTCTTGTTGAAGGCGCCTCCAAGTAAAGAGTATAAGATGTTTGCAATTTAAATTTACATTACTGTTTATTTACATTTCTGTCTGGAACATTCTTTTTCTCGGTGATCCCGTTTTACCGGCCTGGAAAGTTTCTGCTGAATTATAGGTGGTCTCAGGTGGTCCTGAAAAGATTCAAAAGTGGCGTTTCATTTACTTTCTAAAGGGAAGTTTTTAAAAACTGTTCGTTGACCATATCGGCGTTCTCTTTTTTCCTGTTAAGGTATATTTTACATAGGTGATAAACGTTTTATTTTTGTTGCTGTTACGGGTTGTATCGGTAAAATGGTCACGTGATCATTGATATAAAACACTTGTGAATCATTAAAAAGTCACTTTGAGGGGGCAGTCCACAACTAGCGCTAAAGGGATAGAAGACGGTCAGTTAGTCACATCAGTCGGTTCATTCCTTTGTAAGTATAATTTGTTTATTATTTCTCTGTCGTTTGATAAATAAAATCTTTATTACAAAACCTCAATTAAAATCCTATTTACAATCAACCTGCTGTTACAAAAGATCTAATTAATTCATCAAAACAGTATCTACAATTCCTTCATTAGAGAACAAAAACAATCCTAAATGTAATGAGTGAAGAAAGAAAAAACTATTCATTTACAAATTCTAAAAAATAGAAGTAACTTAACCTTACATAAAAGAAGAGGAAATAGATATAATTAATAATAAAAGTTCAAAATTCTATAAAATTAAGAATTCCATTATGCAGAGATATTAAGATCGTACAATCGAATTATACTAATGACGGCTAAACCAGTGTCCATAAAAAGCCCTAAGTAAAAGCATATAGACACGTTCAGATATCCGCACTAGCGGCATTTATTTTACAGTCTAATGATTGCTCTATCTTGCTACGAAACGGCGTTCGCGAACCTCTGACGCACGCATGTACCGATCTTAAGAGTTCAAACGAGATCTGTGTCCTGAGCCAAGTGATTACAACATGATAAGGCTCGGTGTCTTTCTGAGCTATCTTGTCTGCGAGATGCTTTAAGAACCGCTGACACTCGTTTCCCATTCCGCCATTGGTTCCAAACACTAAAGGCGTAAACGAACCCATTTCTACATCTAACACCCGCTGCTGGTACTTGCGCTTCTTCTCTTCTTCTTGCTCTTTGAACACTTCCGATGTTGGCTTGCTCTGGTAACATTTGGAGTTGACGTGCGTAACTCTAACATCAAAAAATGCCGTAACTCCTCTTGCCCAGAAACCTCCCGCTTTGATGTCCAACCTTGCCTCAGAACTTGCAACAGCGCTCCTCAAATGAAATCGCTCGTTGTCCAGGGGTTGAAGGCGTGGTTCGATTTCGACATTATTGCAGATCTTGTCGATGAATGTCGTTAACAAGTCGTTTGTGATTATTTGGTCGATCACTTAATTATTATCGGTGAAAGCAAGCACTGATCGAAAACTAGCTGAATCAATGTTAAAAAAGATACTGCCAGACATAACGTCAGAGCCTTTCTTTCGCTGCTCGATATTGGCCAGGATGCCTCACCATGAAAAAAAAGGGAAAAACCCCCAACATGAAAAAGAAGTTGTAATATAGCGGTTAATTAAGCCTACTCACGTACGAAGGATTCGACCCGAAGCCCTAGCCTAAAATGTTTTTAGGAACGCAAGTTGATGAATGCACTTTGAAATACTTCGTTGGCATTTCTACTACAGTAGTACAATCTTCTGTTATGATAGAATTTCGACTTAAAGAGGGTACATTTCTAGCCATTGATCACAGATCCCAGAGCTGATAGCTAGCTGATCAAGCAAGAATTCGATGCCTTTTGAAATTGATTAGTTTTTAATTAATACGTCGGGCGGCGGCAGTGATCATGAGTACATCAAGATACTTGAAAAGGGCGCCCATTTTGGCGAGAGAAGCAGTTAGTTCTCTCAGAACGATGGAGCACAAATCATTTAGTAAGAAAATATAGGCTAAAAACAATACACTGAAACCTGTATTAAACAGAATTTAGCTGAGGTAACTGGGGAGTGGCATGACCAAAACAGGTATTAAAAATGGTTTGACGAAGAAGAACATGCATTTCCGTCCGGAACATTCTTTTTTCAGGTGATCCCGTTTTTCCGGCCTGGAAAGTTTCCACTGAATTATAGGTGGTCTCAGGTGGTCCCGAAAAGACTCAAATTTAAAAGTGCTGTTTCATTTACTTTCTAATCGGAAATTTTCAAAAACTGTTCGTTATCCATATTGGCATTCTCTTTTTTTCCTGTTCGGGTATATTTTACAATAGGTGACAAACGTTTTATTTATGTTGCTGTTACGAGGTCTATCGGTAAAATGGTCACATGATCATTTATATAAAACACTTGTGAATCATTAAAGAAGTCACTTTTAGGGCGAAGTCCACAACTAGCGGTATAGGGATAGAAGACGTTAAGTTAGTCATATTAGTCGGTTCATTCCTTTGTAAGTATAATTTGTTTATTATTTCTCTGTTGTTTGTGATTATTTGGTCGATCACTTAATTATTATCGGTGAAAGCAAGCACTGATCGAAAACTAGCTGAATCAATGTTAAAAAAGATACTGCCAGACATAACGTTAGAGCGTTTCTTTTGCTGCTCGATATTGGCAAGGATGC